TCAGGCAGTAGAATTTTTGCTTTTTGAGCTGAAAGCCCTGAGTTCAAATCCAGATCTCACCAAAACAAAAAGGTATGTTTGAACCTTTAAAATATGTTTCAAACCATTAAAGCCTTACATTTTAATAGTCTGCTAACTCAAAACTATTGACCTTACCAAATGAAACTTCCTGAAATTTAATAGCATAGATGTTTACAAATTAGGAAACTTTTTTTAAAAACACATAAAAATAAAAAGTTACTGCATTCAATATTAAAAGAAAGAGTATTAGTGAAGAAATGGCCTTGAAATTGTGCTTAAGTTTTTACAAATTACCTAAAAGCTAATTTGAGGTATAAGAAAAACTATCAATTCCTCTATGTTTGCTTTCTTTTTTTTTTTTTGAGATAAGTCCCTGTATGTGCAGCCCAGGCAGGCCTCACACCTCACAGTCCTCCCATCTCAGCCTCCTGAGGTCTGGGATTATAAGTGTGCATCACTTTAACCAATCCAGAGGTATTTCACACTCTTACCCAATGGTTCTTTTTGCTTTTATGTGCGTATCCCTTGATTAAACTCAGTCTCGTGCTTGCTAAGCAAATGCTTTTTCTACATTGAGCTATATTTCAGCCCTACCTAATGACTAATAAAACTGGTTCACCACTCAAGGGCAAAATAGAATGAGGAGCTAAGCAGAGAGGAGGCATGAAAAGACCAACCAATCTGAATTTAGAAGAAGGAATTACAAGCTTGACTTTGACCAACACACAAACAAGTCACTTGACGAAGGAGGAAAGGACGTGAATAGAATTCAAACTGGGAGGTTGCAGGTAGAATTTTATAACTGGATTTAAAAACCACAGGTAGGAACATGTTAGGAGTCATTCAAAAAGTGGACCCATTTGTGGAAGCTTATGTGTGCATGTATGCACGTGTGTGTGTGAATGTGTGTATGCACTTGTGCATGTGTGCACTTGTGCACGTGTGTGCGCTGTGTGTACAGACTAATGAACGGTGCCTCAGAGAACGAGGAGGGGTGCGTGTCAGGGCCAGGCTCCTGACAGGTGCTGCGGATGTGCCACTCAGCTAGATTGCTGGCAGTGCGGCACATCCATTTTCCTAAATCAATCAGCAAGGTGCCCTGTTTTGTGAACGTTGTTTGTTACTTTTAATTTTCCCCTAAAAAGTAATGCAACACTATTTTTAAATACCCGGGTGGGTGTGGTGAGGCTGGTTTAAATGTAGTCGAAGTAAAATGGCAATTAACTCAGTTACCCTCAACTCCCATTAGGAGACTTGAACGCCCTTCCCAATATAATAAACGTAGCATGCTATTATGGACTTGGGGACAAAGTTCCACTCTTTGGAAGAAAAGTTAATATGTCTGCAAATCTCAAATGGAAAACAAGTGAGCATTAACTGCAGGAAAAAAAAGTGGCGTGTACTCAACACTCATGTTTGGAAGGAATCCTTGGCCAGGAACCGGATGGGGCGTGGTCTTTTGTCTCCAGAAACTCCACATGGATTCTGACAGCAAAAGTGCAGGCTGGAGGCTGCAGACCGTGTGCTGTGGATTGTCCCAGCCTCAGCCTTAGCAGAGGGTTTGGCACACAGTGAGCACTCAGTAAATGTCTGTGGAATGCAGAAGTTCTACAACCATTGCTTGTAAAGTGTTTTCCCAACTTTTAAAAATGTTGCCACAGTTAAGAAATCCATTTTACACCAACTCCTGGTACACACACACACACACACACACACACACACACACACATGTGTCACAAAAGTTATGAAGCAATCCTTTCTTTAATATAGAACTTGCATTCTGATCATTTGTTTTCTATTCTGCTTGTCTTATTTGACTTAAAAATAAGGGTTGTGACCACTCGATTGATTTCATAACCCACTAATGGGTCAAGACCAGCAGTTTGAAAGAGTTATATATTTCCTTTTTATTGTTTAACCTCTTATATATGTAGGTTTCACTAACCGAAGGAGGCTTTAAAAGTCACAGAATATTTGATCCAGAAGACATTAGACAATCTTCAGACCAACCCTAAAGTTTTGCAGTGTGGTGGAGTTCCCCTCAGTCACTGCTCATGAATTATGGGAATTTCCCTGCCTAACTGCAAAAGTAAGCCAAGGGGGGCTGGCAGAAGGGCTCAAGTGATAGAGCACCTGCCCAGTAAGCTCAAGGCTCTGAGTTCTAACCCCAGCACCACCAAAAAAAAAAAACAAACTTCATCAAAGATCAAAACTCTTGTGCTTCAAATGACCATCAAGAAAGGGAAAAAAATAAGGGCAAAATAGTTTCTGCTGGGTATTGAGGGGGTGGGGGGGAGAGGGAGGGGGTGGAGTGGGTGGTAAGGGAGGGGGTGGGGGCAGGGGGGTGAAATGACCCAAGCCTTGTATGCACATATGAATAATAAAAGAAAAAAAAAAAAAAAGAAAGGGAAAAGACAAGCTTGGTGTGGTGGCACGCGCTGGAATCCCAGGAGGATTGAGGATTCAAAGCCAGTCTGAACCACATGGCAAGCCTTTGTCTCAAAACAACAACAACAGAAAGTAAAAAGACAACCTACAGGGTGGGAGAAATATTTGCAAATCATTTATTTGGCAGGGGACTTATAAGATGGGAATAACTCTTACAGCTCAACAATAAAGATGCAGTTGAAAATGATTTGGATAGTGTTTCACACAATGTGAAAAGATGCTTGATAGGATTGGTCTTTAGAGAAAGGCAGATCAACACAATGAGATATCACTTCACGCCCATTAGGAAGGTTAAAGTAAAAAAAGGCAATTACAAGTGCTAACAAGGACGTGGAGAAGTTGGAACCCTCATACATTACTGGAAACATACAGTGGTGCCATTTCACATTCTCACCAGCAAACTCAGAATTTCTGGTGTTTTCTCAAAAACATAGTGCTGTCACATGATCTAGCAACTTTAGGTAGCCACCCAAGAGAAATGAAAATATATGCACAAATAGCCTTGCACTTAAGTGGTCACAGCACAATTGTCCACAGTAGTCAAGAAGTAAAAACAACTTAATTGTCCATCAACAGGTGGGTGGCTAAACACAATCGGGGCACAGCCACACAATGACATATTAATTATTTGGTATTAAAAAGAAATGAGAAGCCAGGCTCTGGTGGCCCAAGCCTGTAATCCTAGCTACTCAGGAGGCAGAGATCAGGAGGATCGCAGTTCAAAGCCAGCCAGCAAATAGTTTGTGAGACCCTATCTCAAAAAGCCCTTCACAAAAATTGGGCTGGTGGACTGGCTCAAGGTGAAGGCCCTGAGTTCAAGCCCTAGTACCGCAAAAAAAAAAAAGAGGTACTGCCAGGAGTAGTGGCCCAGTGCTTAGGAGGCTGAGGCAGGAGGTTCAAGAGTTCGAGGCCAGCTTGGGCTACATAGCAAGAGCCTGTCTCAAAAAATAAAAGTAGAAAAAGGAATGAAGTACTAACACAAGCTACAGCCCAGATGAGCCTCAGAAACATGCTAAGTGAAAGAAGCCAGTCACAAAGGTCTCATCTTGCATATTTCTATGAAACGTCTGGATGACACGTTAATCCATCCAGAGGAAGTAGATTAGCTGTTAACCTAGCACTGAGGACTTAAGCAGGAGAACGTTTCTCTTTGGAATGATGAAAACGTTTTCAAATTAGATTATGGTGGTGATCACACAACATTGTCAAAAAGCCAAAACTCATTCATTGAATGCTTTTTAAATGTACACTATTTAAATTTTAGATTCTGTAAATTGTATCTCCAAACTGTTAGGGAAAAAAAAAACACAACAGATTGGAACTCTGTAATGGACACGAAGCAGGATGCAGGCAGCACTTGGCCTGGGTGTAAAATGCTGACCGCCTGATTGGCCCGCAGAGCCCTGGGCGCTTCCCTGGTGAGTATCCTGGTCATTGAAGTCCCTGTAGACCTGTGGCTCTTAACTTGTTATTTTAGGGTTTGGGAGCAGAGGAAGGACATGAAGCTGTTGCTTCAAACTCTGAACTTTCTCCTTAATGACATTCTCACAAAGCTTTGCTTCAAACCACAAAGGAGGACTTTCTGTCCTAGACGGGAAAGAGGTACACACCCTCAGCAAATGAAGATGCTGAAGAAAAGCGCATCCTGACAAGCAGGAAGCCGATGAGCTTCTGGAAGTCAGGGGGAGGGCGGGACCTGGAGCAAGATGCTCAGTGAATGAGACTGAAGAGAAAGAAAAGGCCTGGAGCACAGGACACCTGAATGGCTGTGGTGATGGAGAGGACGCAGGCAAAGGAACTGCCCTCCCAACCCCCACCCGGCTCTGCCCAGCACGTTCCTGGAGCAGCAGGAAAAGCTTGGCCAACTTGGAAATGTGACATTCTTACGCCCGCATCCTCTGGTCCCCACCCCACCTCACGTGTCCCGGTCCCCTAGTGAAAGAAACAATGCTAAAGAATTTTTTAAATTCCGTTAATGAGTTTGAGAAATACTTCAGTGATTAAAACGAAAACTCATTTTATGAATAACATGTAGATTGCATGCGCAAAAAGTGTGTGGGGGGCGTGTTGGAAAGAGTGCAGCTCCACTGGATTCTAAGATAAAACCCAGGTGATCCGAAATACAATTTAGTTCATTTAAAAAAGGAAGAAGAAGGAGGTCTTTGGAAAACAGTGTCCACGGCGGCCCACCTGGCGAGCGCGGGAGGGTGCGCCCGGAACCGCGCGCCTCGGGCTGTCTCGGATGGGACCTGGGCGCGGGCATCTTTCTGGGCTCTGGGTCCCCGCTCTGGGCAATGGCAATGGGACCATTTCTGGGCCGCCTCCCAGCGGTGGTGGCGAGGAGCAAAGGCGACCAGGTGGCCGGGGCGGGCGCCGAGTGGGCGCCGGGGACCAGGTGGCCGCGCCCGTCGCGGGCCGCTCCCTCCACGCGCCGCCGCCCCCGCCCCCGCCCCGCGCCCGCCCCCGACCCGGCCCGGCCCGGCCCGGCCCGACCGCGGACAGGCGGGGCCGCGCACTCGGAGCCCGCGCCGGAGCCGGAGCCGGAGCCAGAGCCGCCGCCTGGGGCGCTGGGCCGGCCGCGGGGACACCCGAGCGGCCGCCACTGCAGGTCAGGGTCGGAGCGCCAGGGGCCACGCGGCCGCCGAGGGACGCGGGGAGGGAGACGGGAAGGGACGCGGGGCGACCCGGGGTGGCAGAGCGCGGGTGACAGCGTGACGGGGTCTCGGGCCGAGGGTCGTGGCCAGCGTAGAGCTCAGGGGACCCCGGCTGGAGAGCTCAGGACGGACGCGAACTCCTGCCCGGAGCCCGGGTGTCCCCACCTCCAGGACCAGGCCCTCTGCCCGGGGCGCTGCGGACGGGGTGGGTGGGGACCCCGAGGAGGTTGGCAGGCGGCGGGGAACTTTGGGGCCGCGTGTCCGGGAGGAGGAGCGCCGCCCCGCGTGGGTCTGTCCCGCGCCCGGCGTCTCCCTGACAGGGAGGTCCCGTCCAGTCATCGTGTCTGCGGACCTCCGGTGGTGACGGCTGTGTGGGGACTGCGGTGACAGTTTGCGCACTTGGGTCCCCCAGCCGGGCGGCGCGGGGCCGGGGATGCGCGCGGCCCCAGGTGCCGGGCCCGGGACGATCGCGGTCACGTGGGCGCCCACGCGCGTCCGCGAGCCCCTCCCCTAGGGTTAATGCGGGCGGGCGGGCGGGGCGGGGAGGGCTGCAGAGTGGGCTCGGGCGTGGGGTGGCGGTGGCGGCCGGGTGGCGCTTTATGCCGGGTGTTTGGGGAGGAGCTAAGGTGAGGAGGCCGAACCTGGGAGTACCCCGCGCTCTGTCATATAAGGGCGGCGCTAGGTGCAGAGGGGCCTGGACCTCCGCTGGGGACCGAAGGCTGCCTGCCCAAGCCCTCACCTCCCACTGCTTAGGTGAGTCGGCTCACTGTCACTGCACTTGGTGGGAATGGTGACGAGATGGCCAAAATTTCCAAGGTTACTATGATGTCACTATTATTTTACTCTCTTCTTGTTTTACAGTAAGGCTTTGATTCACTTGAATCTGAGGCTAACGGTAGAGAAAATAGTGGCAATTATTTTAGGAGGGGAAAAAAAAAGTCCTCCGTCCCGAAGAAACTCAAATTCTCCTTCTTTTTAACATTAGGGACTAAAGGTAAAATTAATTGGTGTAAATTAACATTTGAAAACAAAACCGAAGGGTTGGACTGAGTTGTATGATAGCTGTTGCTGGAAGGACTCTGTAATGACAACTTTTTTTTTTAAATCATTCATGAGACAGAATATTAATTGGAGCTATTAAGAGAGCAATGAATGACTTACTCTTGGACCTGGGCAGGTCTTGGACAGATTATCAGGTGTTCGCTGGCAGCCTCCTGTTGATAGCTAAGTGATTGATTGCTGATTAAAAACATGGCTAACTCGTGGTGATAACATGACTTAGAAAACCTCTCTGGCGGAGGGACCCGCAGACATTCAAAGAGGTACCTTCCACTCTCCTCAAAGTTGACAGAAACTCACAGATGCTAACACTTAGCACTTGGAGTGCTATTTCAAAAGATTCGGTTTGAGCTTTAAAGCAATTTTTTTGTGTGGTAGATCTTCAATCAGATTTGCACTGGAGTTCCCAGTACAGTAATATTCGTGTTACCACATGAAACTTTGAGCGCCTTAGCCAGAGTGAAACGTGTTTCAAAACCATCCCATTTTTGTCTTACTGCGTGCACCACAAGATCTTCCTTCCTTAAATTCTGTAATAGTGGATACTTAATTTGCTGGTTATTATATCTTCAATGGAAAGAGCTTAGAATCAGCTGGTGGCCATCTTTATCTTTTGCAGTAAACTAGAAAAAAAAAAGACCCACCAATGATTCTATTTTTAATGAAAATCTTTTTCATATGTAAAAGGTTTGTTAAATTTGTTTCAAGCTTTAAAATAGCTGTAAAACCATTGCCATTGGTGAAGTATAAAGCTTTGGAGAATTCCAGGCCAAACGCTTCTTAGATGTAGTTTTCTCATTCTTTTAAATTTAAAAGAATATAATTTCTTAAAAATTAAACTGTCCAGACTTCATATTCTTTATTGATTCTGCAAGGAACTTTGTGGATTTTTTTTTTACAAACACTATTTTAGATAATTAAATATTTCATTCAAAGGAACTAGTTTCCTTAAAATTCATTTCTTTATAGATTTCAGAACTACTTTTTAAAATTCCAGATTACATTCTTTTTTTAAAAAAAATCACAATATTAATTTCGAAACCCCTAGAACACTTAAAATTCATACAGGAGAAAAAGTGCAACTTTAGGGTTATGAAACAGAAATGACTCATGTCATTCGCAGGAAGTTATATAAATATAAACAAATGTTTATTTTCTCTTCTTTATAATTCTCTGAAAATAAAGATGTTTGCCACTAACCTTAATTGTCAAGATTAATTGCATGTGGAAACCGTGTAAAGGCACAACTGTGAAAACATACAAGTATTAATCATGCATTTCAATTAGTTTTCAAATTACGAAGTGGTGAACAACAGATTTTCATGAAGCTAGAAAATATCTTAAAACGGTGCTTCCAAATATTTAATGTATCCTGGTCCATATCATAGGATCTGTACATGCCCAGAAATGGTGGTCGTTCTGATTTGTAGTGTGTTTCCACGGGATCACCATCACTGGAACATGGAAGGATACATGTGTCATAAAGAGCGGCAAAGCACTGGGGGAGGTTTTGCTTTCATAGGATTCCACTAAGAAATAGGAGTTGTAGAAGACTTTTTAAGATCACTCCTCAAGAAACCCGGATTTAAGTCACTAGTCTGTGAGTGTGGACGTATGCTCACCCCAAATCGCCACACTGCGTTTGTAATTTGCTTTTCTTATTTTGTGGTATATTTCCCCATTATTCCTTAACTCGAGCGTTCTCTTGTCCACACCTAAAGCCGTAAAGGACAGTAGCTCTGGTCACCTACAGGCTCCTTTGAAATGGATCTAATTTGACCCCACCAAAAGCTTTGGTAAAATCTGTCCAACCAGTGTAGGTAGCCCTAGCATTTCACACTAGTTTCATGGCATACAAGATCAAAAAAATAATTTTAAGATTATTTGAAATCTTCCTGGGGTTTCTTGTTTACCTACTGGTATTTTCTCACTATATAAATTTCAAGGAGTTATATAATATGTTTTAAAGCTATTTAATAAAAATGGCATGTTTTGAATTTTATTTGTCTGACATAATTAGGTTCTTGGAAGGAATTCTATTTAAATACAGTAGGCTGTATTTTAGGGAGAATTTCTGATAGATGCTGATAACATCTACGCCTGAGTCTAGTACACGCTTACATTATTATCCTAAAAAAACAGGTTGTGTGTTCTTAGTATTTCTCTTTAGCACATCGGTATTTTATCCCTTCTCACCCTTTCCTTATTTGTGAAGCGGGGAAAGCACTGTAGTTCTTATTCTTTGGGTTTTTTTGGGTATGATTTTAAGACTTTATCTGCAAACCTGTATATCTTAAATGATAAGACCTTGGCCCTGAGTCTCACTGAGCTGATACCCTAAGGAGAACCCAAGCGGCCGGCTGTCTCGCAGCTTACGCTTTCACCCTAAGGCTGACTGCGAGGCCACTGTTAAGAATGAGAATTCAGAAAGTGTTCAATTTCAAACTTCATTTCCCATTCCCTGATGGCTGTGGACAAACCCCGGCCTACTGATTACTTTTCCTCTGTCTTTGTGGGACATCCTAGTGCTCCAGGGAAGTTCTAACGCACTTGGGTTTGGTAAAGCCCTGCGTTTCACTTATTTCTATAGTGCACCTTGGTAGTATTTAATAAGTGTTTTACAGTCAGGCTGATGCGCCTTCAGCTCAGAACACAGCTTAGTCCCAGAGCCTAAAGACTAGCTAGTGCCTTGCACCGGCCATGAAGATGGGGTCTCTTTCAACAGGCAGTAACGGAGTCTTGTAAGTAGCTTGAAAAGTTGATATGTTTCCTGATACCACCCACTTATTAATGTGAAATGTCCTGTGCAAGAAAGGGACTGGGCTGAATATGGCTCATTGGTGAGCCAAAAGAGCTTGTTGCTCAGGCATGGGTGGGAACTGCTGGGGGGGTTGCTCCCACCCTCTCTGGCACACCCCTCTGCTTGCTGAGAGGTGGGGTTCCCAAGTCTGGCTCCTAACTAGAAGGATGGAAAGAGGAAGGCACGGGAAGACTGGTGCCCAGAGGTGGGGAGCGTGTCCCGGTGTGCGCCTGGATTTCCCTTTGGGGTGGAGGACAGGGAGTCACATTAATGACAAGTACACTCATTACCTTCAGCTACTCCAGGAACCAGGCCGTTCACAAGGAGAAAATGTTTTTTGGGGGACAGAATGTAATGAATTTCTTTTTCCCTACTGCATTTTTTTGAGATATAAAGGGAAGATGTCATCAAATCATGCAATCTGAATCAATTAAAACAGCGATTTTAAACCTTACAGTCAGGATTTAAACCAGATCATGCAATGAGTTACTTCTGTTTAATTCAGTTTAATTCCTGTTTAAGAAACATTTACAGTCAACTTTGTTATTTTTTAAATCACTTTTTATTTTCACTTAGGTGCTAGGATCAAACCCAGGGCTTCACACATACTAAGTACACACTGTACTACTGAACTACACCCTAGCCCCCACTTTGCCATTTGTGTTTTGTTTTGCGGTGCTGGGGAGGGAGCCCATGGCCTTGCACAGGCTGGGCAAGTGATTTGACATTGAGCTGCCCCCCCAGCCCCCACTGCATTGTTTTTAGAAAATAAGGTCACTTTTTTTTTTTTTTTTAAGCAGCCTTAATTTTGGACTCATCTGGACTTATAACATGTGGCCCAAGTGTATTGAGACAAATGCTCTGACCTCTGGGAAGAGTTCAGATTAGCATTAAGGTGGGGTGAGAAGTCCTTCAGCGTTTGCCACAGATAAGAAGGTAGATGGAGGAGGGAGAGAAACCTGAGTAGGAAATACCTGAGTAGGAGTGGAACAGATCTCTGTGTGCTCAAGTCCCACAGCCAGCAGCCTGTGTGGTCACCACGTCCTAGAATGTAAGGCTGGTTTCAAAGACTTTACCCTGCACCCAGGGGACCTC